CCCCCCCCCCCCCTCTATTCGTCTCTGTACTTGATAGATGGACGGGTATCGTAAAGTTTTCGAGGCGAATTATGGTCTGACAGCTTCTTGATAGATCAGACGGCTTCACCGACGCCTCCGCGTTTTTCCAATGGCCGTTTCCTAGCCCACTCTTATTTGTAAATGAGTCTAGCGATGCGCGGGATCACTGTGCCAACGAAAGAAGTGAGCTCGTCCTGGATACTGACTTTGCTTGTCTTCTGCCAACATTTGATCGGCTTCAAGCTTAAATACTAACTGGCAATTTTTTTTTTAATTACGGCTAGCCTTCCTTTCGTATCTTCGCCTGTCTATATACATGGCTATTGTGTCTGTCGCCATCACCGTATCATTCCACATCAAGGGCACGCCTAGCGATCTTGAACGCCGGGTGGCGAAACCGCTCGGTGGCATCTTCTGGGTACTATCTGTGATAACGTTGGTTCTAGGCGTGGGGAACTATATAAGTAAGCTAGCTGATCTCTCCTAAGAGCGCCCAAAGAAACCTCTTTTGATGTCGGAGCCTAATTTATTTATTTATTTAGGAACTGTCAATATGTATGGCAAAAGAGCTGCCATTGTGCAATCTGGTTGGAAGACACAAGTAGTGAGTTTCGGTGCATCTTTATGTACATACACAGGACTATGTTGACTCATATATCCGCAGGTTTTGGGTGGAATCGCCTTTTCTATTATCGGAACGTGCATTATACTCCTTGTCATAGACAAAGTACGCCAAAAATGATATCGACAGCATTTGGAGATGGTTCATTTTTTTATTTTTATTTTTTCACTTTTTTAAATTTGGGGTTTTCTCAGAACACAGAGCTCACTACGAAGCTCTCAATAGAGATGCATAAATATTGGTCCATTGATTCAAAACAAGATGGATGATAGTACACCTGATATAACAACAAACAACAATACCGCCATGATAGCATAAAATAACTCCAACATTCCCCAACAAATAATTCGCCATGCGCCATGCTCCAGCTGAAAGTTCATCTACCATTGGTAAAACAGAATAGATCTCTAGCATTCGGGTCCACTGCCGGAACAGGTCCCGCGCTCTCATCCTTACATCCTCCAATTTGTGTACGAAATGCTTGCTTATATTTGGCTGCAGTCTTCTCGATGGCGCCGTCATCCGTGTTTTTTCCATCCCAGGTCAGCCACGGCATGTGGTAAAGAAGTGGCAAATCGCCCTCATGTGGGAGCGTTGCCAGCACATCTACATGCGATGCTGGGTCAAATCCGTCCGAGGCAAGCTTAATCAAGTCCTGTTCCTGCTCAGCAGTTTTTCCTTGTTCGTATTCCTCCGGCACATCATAGAGATCTGTGTGGATGCCGACTATGGTATTGGCGGTCTGACGGGTAGGGTAGAGGGTGAAATATCCCCGAAGCCGTGACAGCTGCAGAATATATTCCAGCCAAGCAGGGTGCTTTGTACTAATCTTCTTCTTTGCAAAAAGATCCGGCGTTGTGGACGAGGCATGCTGTTTCTCCAAAAGCTGAGAGACGTAGCCGTGAAGCTCTACCCACTTGTCGCCAAAAATGAGAATTGCATCGCTGCTGGGCACCTGCCAAAGAAAAGGCGTGCCCTCTATATTAGACCCTTGTTCTTCCAGGGGCTTTGGTGGCGTGAACTGAGTAGTATCGTCGAGATATGCCGTGGGCGCCGAAAGACTGATGCCGAAAAGCTTATTCTCCCAATGCTGCCGGTTGGCAATGGTTGAATATCGTCGCTGCAGGATCGAATATTTGACATCTTTCCAAAGTTAGCTTGAGAAAATTTAATTGAAGCCGTTCAAGCTAACTTACAGTGAAAGAATTGAGATGTAACTTCAGTATGAGGCGACAAAACTATGACATGAGAGTGAAATGGTTTAGCTGGCCAAAATGATTCCAAGAATCTGACAGAACTCTCCTCTTCACTCATTTTATGTCGAGGAATGCGGCGACGAAGCGACAGCAGCTTTGTCTTGGGAGCCACGCCGTGAGCCTTTGGCGGCCATTCATACCCGTTCAAGAAGCTAGTTAGGTCCTCTTCGACCGTTGAGGGAAGTTCGATGGTCAAATGGGGCGGAGAGACCCCGGCCATATCCGTTCGAGCCAGAGACCGAAGTAGCCGTTTGAGATTACCTGCGCCATGCCGAGGAGCCTGGATAATGATATCAAAGTTGACCTCATTCCAAGCTGTAGCAAAGAAGGCATTAGAATATGCTTGATCTAAAGATAGATGCCTAGCGCGTCGCCTTACCTGCTAAAGCAGAAGAATCAAGCTTCGACAACCATGAGAATCGCTGAGCTGTCTTCTCCGAGACTTCAATTAAGGTAGCTTCTGTATCTCGGATCTTATCACGGATGCCGGAGAGAAAATAACTTTCTTCAGTTGATGAAGAGTCTATGATGACCACTTGTGGGTGCATATAGAGGTTAATATAATCTGAATCTCCGTTAGAAACATTACTACGTAAAAAACATTACAATAGGTCCGCTGGTTTGCACTTACAGAGAGCTCGAGTTACGGAAAAGGTCATTCGTGGCTCAGCTGTCGTTGTAGAATGGTCAGGACGGGCATCTACATAAATCGATTATCAGTATTTCGTTTTTCACAACATGGTCTGGAGTTAAGCCCAGGAATGAAAACAAAGACACCGTACCATGCATAACCAAGGGGCACGACTTATCAATGCCATTGATCGCCAGCAACTCCTTGATGGAAATGTCACTCCTGCTCATTAGGGCAAAATGTACATAGTTCTGACGCTCTGTGGCCATTTGGCATGCCATTGGGAGCAAAAGCGCAGCGCTTTTAAGACTGGCTGCCGAGAACAAGACGTTGCGATTCTTTTGCATCCTCCCCTGTGTTTCTAGCATGATGGCTTCCAACGAAGGACCCAAATGCGGGAGCTTTAGTGGTCCATTGTACGGCTTGGACGGGTCTGCTGCAGCTTTGCTTCCGCCATCATTGGGTTTGGCCTGGGGCTTTGGTGTCTTGGGCGTCTTGATTATAGGAGCGTCCTCCTCCATCCGCGGTGTATCATATCTGGGAGGAGGTCGTGGCCTATCATACATGGGCATCAAGTTGGCCGGATCAAGAGACGAGGCGCCAGCAGCTGGCCCGATGACCCTGAACAGTCCATAACCTGTCAAGAAGAAAACGACGGCATACAGAACAAGCCGGAGCACGGAGGCCACGCCCAGGGACGCCTTGGGGGCGGGTTGCCAATGGTCAGCGTGCTTGGTGTGTCGAGGCAGGCCGAGATCATCGTCCTTTTTGTTGGCCATTTCTTCGTCGTCGCGCCAGAGCTGCGACACGGACCAGCCGCCGCGGGCTGCGGGAGGCGGCATATTCTTGCCTTTGGCAGCTCAAGCTTAACCGAGTATTGCTGGTTCAGAATGTCTCGGCGCAAGCCAAACAGCTTGCTTACAAGGCTGTTTAGGGGCAAGACAATGGGTGAGAGGGGGGCGATATTCGGAACCAGCGGTTACATGGCGGTATCAATGCTGGCGCCGATCGTCTGCTCTTGCTGCCGGATTGCGCGCTCTGCAGCGATCCGGGCTGGGCAGAGATGGATGGACGAGACGAGACGAGACGAAACGAAACGGGTGTTGTGGCAGCTTATGGCTTGGTGCTCCATAAAAGGCTAATTTGGGAGCTCTCGTCGTCTAATACGGAGTCTGGATAGCGCTGCTGATTAGATAACACTTTGCGCGCTGTGGAGAACCTGCAGGGAGCCAAGGAGCATCCAACCGTTATATTAGCCGTGGCGCTGGTGCCGATGCCTTATGCGGCCAGACAATGGTGCGCAGGAATGCTGGAGAAAACCAAAGACGCTCAGAATACAGGGCGCCGTCTTCTAGAACTGCCTAAACTTATGGGGCGCTAGACTGCTGAATGGGCCGCTGGAAGGCGCTGTGGCCTGCCTGAGAGATCTGCAATCTGCAAGCTGGAGGGGCAGCGTTGCTCGTGGTGGGGTACGAGTAGCCAACTGGAAGAGGAAAAAAAAAAAAAACTTGATACGGGACTTGATCCATGTAAACACCAACCTCATCATCACAATTCATATCAACCCTCATACACCGCAGCAATTTACTCAGTCTGTCGACTCATTGGCTTTGCATATTCGCTCCTCAATCATCTCATTCGTTTCCGCACAGACACCATGGGCAAATCAAAGAAGCCCAGGGCCGGCCACCGCAGCGATCCCGTTGCCAAAGCCGTCAAGCCTCCTGCAGATCCTGAGCTGGCCGCTCTGAGAGAGAGCAAGATTCTGCCCATCATCAACGATCTCAAAAGCGCCGACCCCAAGTCTCGTTCCACGGCTGCGTCCGTCATCTCAAGCATTATTCAGGACACCAAGTGCCGCAAACTGTTGCTCCGAGAGCAGATCGTCTACACCGTTCTCACTCAGACTCTGACAGACGCCGCGCTTGAGAGCCGAGCTGCTGGATGGGGGATTTTGCAAGTGCTGGCTCAGGAGGAGGAGGCCGATTTCTGTGTTCACCTCTACCGACAAGATGTATTGACGGCGATTGAATTCGCTTCAAAGTTGGTGAGTTGGAATCTCAATGATATAAGTGAGAGCTTACCTTAACCTGACGCGCTATCCGTTAGATTCAAGACAAGATCCTCTCAAAAGAGGCGCCCTTTGCAAAGCTACCCAAAGCGGAGAAGGGATTTATTTCCAGCATTGCAGCGTCCCTTGTCTCGCTATTAATGGCTCTAGCCGAGGCAGAAGATGAGATTCTGGAGTCAATTTCCAATAACACCATCATCACTAGCCTCCTCTTCTCACTCATCACATATACCTCTCAGGACGATGAAGATCCTATATCACCCATCCGTGGAGACTCCATGGCCTGTCTAATGGTCTTATCTGAGGACAATACGAACCTAGCAAAATACATCACAAGCACACCCAGCAGCATCGCTTGCTATGAGACGCTGATATCCCTAAAGGACGATGTTAGCGGAGATGGTGTCTTAGCTTGCACCATCCTTCACAACATTTACGCCTCTCTTCTCGAAGTGAAGAATCTATCACCAAAGATCGATGTGGCTGACGATTCAGATCTGATACCGACGCTCACCAAGGCCATGGCTGGCTTTGTCCCCGGCCAGGGCGAGGCCAACAGCAGCGGCTGGTCTAGCCCCTCAGAGTTTCAGCAGCTGGCCCTGGAGACAATTGCATCCATCGGCACAAGCCTTGGCGTTGAAATGGGAGGCTCTGCTCAGCTGTTTACAAAGAAAGAGTTTGGAAGCGGTGAGGCTGCGGCTGGGAAGGAAAGCGGCGATGAGGAGAATGATGACGAAGATATGGACGAGGCTGCCTCTGACGCTGGTGATGACATTGAGGGCCAGGATGAAGATGACGATGACGATGAAGACGATGAAATGAATGAAGATGAGATTGAAGCCGACATGGACATGGTCACTGGCGTTGATCACGGCGACGACAACATTGACGATCTCCCGACCCTCAAATCTCTCATCCAGATTGCTATCCCCGAACTCATCCGCCTCGCCAGCCTCCAGCCATCCGACGACCTCTCCCTCAAGGTCCAAGGCCACGCCCTCTCCGCCCTCAACAACATCGCCTGGTCCGTTTCCCTCATCGACTTCTCTGACGACTCCAACAACGACGTGCTCGGCGCCTGGACCCCCATCGCCCGCGCCCTCTGGCAACAAGTCGTCTCCCCCATCCTAGCCTCCGACACCGCCGACGTCGACCTCGCCACGCAAGTCACCAGCCTCGCCTGGGCCGTCGCCCGTGCCCTCCACGGCGAGACGCCCCTCCAGCCCAACGAGCACCGCAAGTTCGTCTCCCTCTACCAGGCCACCAAGGGTGCGCCCGCGCTGCAAGACCCTGAAGACCCCTTCCAGGCGCTCGGCGTTAAGTGCGTCGGCGTGCTTGGCCAGCTGGCGCTGAATCCGGCACCTACGGATCTTAACCGCGAGATTGGAACCTTCCTTGTCACTCTCCTTGCGGGCCTTCCTGAGACTCCTGCTGCGGATGCTGTCGAGGCGTTTAATCAGATTTTCGACATTTATGGAAACGAGGAATACGTCTACGATGCGGAGGTTTTCTGGAAGAGCGATTTCTTGAAGCATCTTGATGGGACGGTATCAAAGGCAAAGGCCATGGCCAAGAGCGTCAATAAGAGCCAACAGCCAGAGCTGAGGGACAGGGCAGACGAAGTCGTCATGAACTTGACGAGATTCTTATCATATAAGAAGAAGCACAAGCCTGTGCAGATGACAGTAAGAGAAAGGAGCTAATGAGGGAAATGTAGGGGAATAGATATTTATTTTATCTTGCATAGATGTGAACAAAGGAAATTGGAAAATAAAATGTATAAAGATACGCCATGAGATAAATATATCATGAAGAGCTGAAACAATCTGAATCTTCAATTAGCGCCTTTCCTTTAAATGTTCCCATTCATCAACACCGCTCAAAAACCCTGTACAGTCCCTTCAAACTTGCCACCTCCAACACAGCTCCGTCCATGAGCTTCTTCGTCGCTACCAGCCGTGACCTAAACGCCGGGAAGAAGATGTGCTCGATAGCCCACCTGACGTGCTGCCTTCTTGTTCTCATTTCCTCAAGAGCCGCATCCTCGTCTCCCTGTTCTGATTTTCCCTCTTCACTAACGTCTCCGCTTTCATCTTTCCCTTCTGCAGACGTGGGCAGTGCCTCAGGGACATAAAATGTCGCCAACTCTGTGATAAAAGTCTGAAAGCACTCTTTCTCATCATCCCAGTTGACATGAGGTCCGAGACGGATAAGAAATCTGGGGAGCTTGCCAAGGGATGGCGTATAGCCTTTAATGAGGAGAGGGATGGAAACCAGCTCACCCGTAGGAGTGATTTCGAGGGAGAAGTACTCTTGGAGCATCTCTCTTCGCTCAATGAGCCGATCTGCTACCTTTGCGACTATCAAGTCGACATTGAATTCCTTGTCAGAGGCTCCCATAGCCTCCTTTTCGACTTCGGCTCCGATTTTAAGAATTTCTCTGAGGTCCAGAGGTGGGCTGAAGTTGATAACACCAAAGTTGCCAAAATCGGTGAGTCCTAGCTGATAAAAGTATTCAAAGCATGTGTGGCCATAGTCTATTAAATACAGCTTCACGCCTCCCTGAATGGCGGCCAGTCGCCGGCCTTCGTCGACTACACCGACAAATGTGTGTGAGGCGATGATCTCTGTCAACTCATGGTGAATCTCATCTCGGACTTCTTGGCGTAGCTCCTTGACGGTCTTAAGGCGGCATTGGACGTGCTCACGGTCTGTCGCTGTGTATTCCACTGGCTCTGGAACAGCCCATGCCTCATCTTCTAAAGCTCTAGCCGGAGAACCTGTTTTATCGATAGTGCCCGCTGGTGAAAACAAAGCAGTTATTTTACCCTGAGATTTATCTGTCCGGACAAGATCGTTCGAGTTTCGCCGTATCTTTCTAAGAGCGGGTGTAGTAAACTTTGGAGTGGCATCGCTGTCATCTTCATCCAAAGACTCAACAGGTTTGGCTCCAGGCAGTAACGTCTGTGTCATAAACGTTCGACTCGTGTCTACAGTAGCGAGCTCCGATTCAATTTTCTTGCAAATAGCTTGTATGACCTCCTCTTCGTTGAGAAAATGAACCTCCCGCTTGGTAGGATGAACATTGACATCTACTCGAGCCGGATCAATTTCCAGGCTAAGATAGATGAAAGGATGGCCGCCCTTGGGTAAGAAGACAGAGTATGTCTGTTCGAGTGCCTTTTTCATGGTGGTTGATTCAACGCAACGGTGGTTGATAAATAAGAGCAATGTCGTCTTCTTGATGTGATAATTGGCATTTGTCACATAGCCATTGGCAGAGAAACCCCATCGGTCGTCGGAGACAGATAGTTCTATGAGCTCATTGGCGACGTTGCTGCCATGGATCTGACGAATGCGGTCTATCACAGTTGCTTGAGCTTGTACGGAAAGAGCGTTAGAAGCCTCGCCTGCCTTTTTGCAAGTAAAGCCGACTCCCTTGCAATGTATTGCATATCGTCCGGCCATATCAATAATCTTGTTGAATTCATCTGCATAGGATCGAAATGCTCTCCGACGAGTTGGCACATTGAAGAACAAGTCTTCCACCGTGATTTGGGTACCCTGACGCCCAGCAACTCCCTTTGGTTCAGCAGATTGCCCTGGCTTCGCAGGAACTAGCTTCCCATCCAGGTAATGTGCACGCCAAGCGAGAGATGACTCTTTGGTCTTCGTCGTTACCGTAAGATGGGCAATGTGGCTAATACTGGCCAAAGCTTCGCCGCGGAATCCATATGTGGCGATAGATGACAAGTCTTCAAATGTAGAAATTTTAGACGTTGTATGCCGTACGCATAGAATTTCCAGGTCTTCTTTCTGTTGGGCAATAAGGAAAAGGAGTCAGCCGCTGTAAAAACGAGCATGTAGGTGGCAAAGGTTAAAGTACCTCAATTCCGCCACCATTGTCTGTGATTTGAAGCATTTTCAAGCCCCCATCTTTGACCAGAATCTCCAGGGACGTTGAGCCTGCGTCCACAGCATTTTCAACCAACTCTTTGAGCGCATGAACCGGAGCCACAATAATCTCTCCCGCAGCGATCTTGTTGACCACATCAGGGTCGAGAGCCTACTCAGCAAAGAAATGTCAGTCAATCAACAAATTCTTGTGGAACAATGGAATCCTCTTGACTCTCAAATCTAGTCAAAGAAGACGAAGAAGGGCGAAGAGACTACTATACCCTGATCCTTCGTGCGGGCTTCTGAGCCTCATGTTCTTCCTCCGCCTTTCTCTTGGTCCCACTCGGGGCACTATCAACTTCCATTTTATCCATAACCGCTTTCATCTGACAACTTTCCTTCAATTAAATGAGTAAATCACATTCGAATAATTTCGTAACATTTCATGCATAAACCATTGCAAATAACGCCAGCATCAGAGGAGAGAAGCCTGTGCAGAGCGGCCCATATCAACGCAAACGATTCTTAACAATAAATAGTAAAAAAGAGAGATGAAGGTCGAGAGAGCCCCATCTCATTCGAATTAGTTCTTCTTGAATGGAAAATGCAAGGCGGTGGAAGGAACGTTGACCACTTGGCTTACTACGCGAAGTTTCCACGCTTGCACGTGACTCGCGAGAGGTACCTGAATTTGGTACTCCGTACACGAACGAACGTTAGTCTGTGCTTTAAGGCGGTCGATGAGTAGCCACAATTGATAGGAAATACGGTGTCCTAGACTATTATAGAGAAAATCTTGTATATCAAGCTATATGCCGATCATTTCTAGCCTAGTGGATGTTTTATCTGTATCTCTCCATTGCATTGCAACACACCAGACTCAGGCCAGCCCAGATACTAGCCCAAGCAGCTCATGTATCTGTGCTGCAGCGTGCTCTGTAATTCATGGGCGCCAGTAGACATCTTGAAATTTCGACAAGAGACACATAATTTGTATAGCAGCAAAATCGCTAATCCATACATTGGTCGTATTAAGATCTAACCACTACGCTATAATTGTAAACCAAAATCAGCCTCCCTACCACAGAGTATGCCTGTTCAATGCATAACAATAACGAATCTGCCCCGGAAGGCCCAATATACTCGCGTCTGGCATGACCATGACTATTCATGCCGCCTATCCCTCTCTTTATTGCCCTAGCCAAGGTTTTTGCAAAGCTTTCCAAATACTATTGCAATCAATGTCAAAAAAAGAAACAAGTAACTCTTACATGAGTAAACAGAACTCCACATAGCCCGAGAAAAATCAAAGACATAGCGCTACGCTTAATCATTCAGTCCAGTTGTTCCTCCCCAAAAGTGACCGCTTCCTATCCATCCCCTCCTTTTGTCATTGAGCCTAGAAGAGATATAAAGAAAATAGAGAAAAGATTTTCGGCAAAAAGGAAATAAGAAAGACAAAAAAAAAAAAAAGAGAGGGGGAGAGGGAGAATCAGTCGAACTAAGCTTTTCGCAGGCAACTGCCCCGTATTTTGTTTATAAGATGCAGAAATTTAGCTTCATCCATGATTTAGTGATATAGGAGAAGATCAAGACAATGGCATCGCTAAGTTCATTGACTTTCCAAAATTCCATTCCGGAATGTTTTTAAATGGAAAACAAACAGTTAGCTCGAAGCGCCGGCGCTAGTAATCAACTTCTCAGACAAGAGAAATGTCCAAGGTAGCCATATTCAGTGGGCAAGCCGCTCGTTGTTAGATGTGTATGTAGTTCCCCCAATCTATTAGGGTAGCCGACTTGTTCCCAGAAGCTGGGTTTATATGTTGAAGAAGTCAAATGGGGCTAACGCCTGTTTATATCGCCGGGTTGCTCTAGTAAGCCGCCAATATCAACCCGTCTTGGTCGTTCAGCATTTGGCCAATTAACCTCTCGAGAAGAGGGTCTGTGATCTGTCTCCGCCCGAATAGGAGGCAGCTGATAAGACGGCTGGGTTTGGGGTTGGCTAGCAGGGACGTATTCGCTTTGGGATGTCTGATAACTTGACGCAGAGTATTGTGGCGGAGTATAAGATTGGGCCCCTGAGCTGGAACTCGCATGCGAAACAGCTGGATTATATGGCGATCGCATGGCACCGTCACTATGGCGATGCCTGTAAGGCTCGGTCGAAGAAGAAGCTGACTGATCACCATAAGCCGCTTGATGCGATACTGATGGCCGATGATATGACAAGCCAGATTCTCGAGCACGCTGCGGACGCTGAGCGCGTTGCGTATGTTGAGTATGCTGTACCTGTTGAGAGTGCTGAGCGTGTTGCGATTGGTGAGAATGTTGTGCATGTGAGTGTTGTGGATACGGTGAATGCTGCGAAGATCCTGGCGGCGGGAGCTGTGGGTGAAGCTCTCGGAGGCTCAACAAAAATACAATGAAATAGAACGATCCTTCCTTTGCAATTCCAAACCGGAGAGGGAATGTCCTGGTATAACCGTCATATCCAACAAAGCCGAAATACTCTAGATGATTGAGGCGAAACCTTGACACATCTTCGGTCATGAATCCATAGTCCTTGATGGCAATATCCAATCTGCCCATAATAGGCGGCAGATAATTCGGCTCAAACGTTCGCTGCTCTTCAAAAAGTTGATTTTGAAGGTTGGTGAGGAAAGCGGCCTGATGCGGCGTAACGATATCGCTCAGCTTATTTCCCAATGGGTTCGATGCATGGACCATTTCCATAAACATTGGCGATGCCTTGACGATGTCAAAATCCATGCTCAAGTATGCCAGAGGCTCCATATTATTCGGTGGTGCGCCTTCATAAGATGGGGTGTAAAGGTTCGGATCTGGGGCAGGAGGTCGCTCTTGGTATACTACACGTGGGCCATTCTCGATCAATGGAGGATCGAGAGGTCTGTAGGACTGATTTCGTCGGAGGGAGTCTTCGTATGGGGAGGTTCCAGGAGTTGTCGAGGGATATATACTTAGTGGCCTCCTCAACGTCGCATCTTGAGGATTCGAATATCTAGATGGATCGAATCTACCATCCCTTTCGTCTCGCAGTCGTGGCCGTCCTCGCTTTTTATGCTGAACATCGACACAAGCGTCTTCTTTCCCGCTGCCAAGGCACCTGGAGCAGGGTCGTTGTGCTATAAAAAAAGTTAGTTCAGAAGTTCCATTTCATTTTACACCTTCCATCCAGAGCCTTTTCCCGATTCAATAGTATGTGTTGTAGAGCAACAAAGCACATCTCTTCCAGGAGAGCCCATTGAGAACTCCAATTGGCCTGTATAGTTTGCAAAGCAAGCCGCCAAGTAGCTCTAATACTAATTATACAACTTCTTTCTTGTATAGGGAGAAAAAAAAAAGACAACGTACCATCGCATCTAAGACAAAATAATGTTAGTGATCAACACAGTCACAAAACAATACGCTCATTGGCGCATATTTCAAATTCTCTATGCTTACCGAAGATGAGCTTTTTTGCAAGGTACGCAAGCAGAAGCAACATGGCCTTTCGCCTTTCTCTGAGATTTCGGTGATGTATACGGCTGAGACTCGGTTGCTTGCGGTCGATCGGGCACAGGATAGCCCTCCGAGTTCGAGGGCGTCGAGTTTGGATATACTGTTTGAGAAACTGCTTGAGGCATTCCGTGGTGGTGCTGAGAGACATATGGGATAATCCTTCCTGATTCTTCGGGTCTGGGGTATGCATATGGAGACCTTATTGCCGGTTCTTGCGCATATGGCCTTGCCATTGATGCGGCCTGCTCGCGAAGATTTGTGGGAGACGGTTGTGTCGGACCTCCACGAAGGCCATCCAGAACTCTAGAGGCAGTAAAATAGCCTGGAACTTCACTACCTCGACTACCAGCCTCTTGAGCTGGTCTCAGAGGTAAGGGTGGAGAGCCGGACATAGGAGGTGAGGGATATGCCCTACTCCGCACGGCCGACTCCTTTGGGTAGGCCTCTTTCCGGCCCCAATTGACGTCGAAGGCGCAGCGGGTTGGGTCAGGATAAGCTTGATGATGCCCAGGCACGAGGGGCGGCGTTGGATTAGAAGGATGTGTTAAAAATGTCATGGATGGAATATTCCGTGAGAAGTTTTTCCTGGTAGCCACCAACAGCACCGAGTTCCAAAGGATGTGAATTTTAACTTCTGATCGTTCAAAGAGTCTAATTCGAACCGTAAACCCTCTGGCCTGAAATAATTTAATGATTCACGTCTTCTTAAATGAATAATAGTTGATCTCGGATATGTTTTTCGACGGTTGAATGAAGAGTAGCTTGTTATCGGAAGCAAAAATTCGCAGTAAATCACTGTTTGAGCTTAGATACTGGAGGGAAAAAAAAGACTCTTGTACTCTTTTCAATGATAGCCGGAAGAAATCGAGTGAGTGTATACAGGAAAAGTCGATCTGAGAGCGTACCCGTCGTTCTATTGAGCGAAGAAGAAATGGGGCGGAAATTTTTTAATGTGGCGGCTGGCCTCCAAAGGATGAAAAAGCAAAAAATAAATAATATAAAAAAAATAAAAAATAAAAAAAAAGGTCGAACACAGAGAATGGTTACGAGCCAGAGAGGCCAACTAACGAGCTCGAAACCAAAATTGAGCCAAAGATCCAGCTAGGCGGAGAGCAACCGATGTGAAACAGGCGCCGCTGGAACAGTGTGATACCTGGCAGCCAAAGGTATTAGAACGCTTTGTGATACAACATGCGGCCGTGTCGTCGGTGGTTATCGAGATGGAACGGCAGCCCGCAGCAAAATCGCAAAGTTTCACGACTTGAGCGACGGATTCTGGCGAAGCTGAAGCTGCTGAACCCGACAAAGTCGCTGGCTCAAACGACTGAGTCAGAACAAAAGCACGACGGGGATCAGCCTCAAATGGCTGATTGGCGGCTTACAGTCGGTTTTTGTGCGACTCTTGGGTCTAGTCTAAGGGACCCTGTTGCCAGATGCAAGGCAGTCGGGCCAGAGAAAATAGGGTTACTCGCCGAAAAGCCTGCAAGCACAAAGACCAACTTGTACAGAGCAAGTAGGTAGCCAAGCAGGTGGTCAAGCAGTGTTGAGAAATCGGGGGCCCACGGACCGAGTTCCTGGTCTAATAATGTTCTTATTGCAGCGGGTTAAATCAGAGGCGACAGGACATGGCTTGTTCCAGGACGATCCCTGCCCGGTCAATCCTATCTGACAATTCTCCGCTGGCTTGTCTCGAGAGGGGAGAGGCGGCCGCCGTGCGTGTGAGATTTCACAAGCGCAATAAGACACTGGAGACGGCTATGATTGGGGCAAACTGGGATGGGAAAGGCGGGAAACCAGAAGAAAGCTGTGGAGGTTGGGTGGGGAGGGGGGGTGTATTGTATCTTGTCCGTTTCGTGGAGGTGTGCTGGCTGGGGTGAGAGCTCGGCAGCAAAACAAAGGATTGCTGCTACGGCACGAAGTAGGCAAAGAAGGCTTAGACGGTAGCCACAGGAAAAGATGGCAAAGAGACGGTGATGGAGAGGCACCATGGGCGTAAGAAGATGTGATACAGCTGAACGAGACTAAAACCCGGAGCTCTCAGCCGGGAGACGGCAAACTGGAGTTGGCTGGGTGATATCTCTCCCCTACCACATGTACATGTTGGTCCGGGGGGACGATGCGTAGAGGGTGGTATCAAAGCTGGTCATTTAACTCTGATCCCCCAGCCAAAATTAAGATACCGGGATAGTCTTGGCGTTCTAGAAATGCATCTAGCATGTATGTGCGCATAGTGTTCGACCTTTGGTGCTCGTAAAATACCACTGGGAGCAAAAATGATCAGGGGTGAGCGACTTCTGCCATGCCTGAAAAGTTGACGAACCGCCAAGGGTGATGATCGAATCGGCGACAATAGGCAGAACAAGGTAGGGCTACAAAGGCTTTGGTGCTCTCGGCATATCTAGAAGGCCTGGACGATGTTTGGTGCCAGCCCATGCACGCAGGTATGGAGTACCTGGCACTGGCGTCAGACGCAAAAGTAAAGGCTTGCGAGTGAGTGTATGGTGGAAGTGGAGATGCTGCTGTGTCCTCCCTAGAGCTTTCAAAGTTGGCGTACTGGTTCTCGTACATCCATACGAGTAACTCGCGTTTGCCTTGAGAGACAAGGAGCTTGCATGGGAGTAGGGGAAGCTAGCAGTCCTGGGATTAGCAGTCCTAGCAAGCTTTGCAAATAGGATGTAGAAGTTGGCTGAATAGCAAGGCCTCGATGGCGGGTTGGAGGATTTGCTTCGTGGATCACAGATGGACAACAGAATGGCCGCCATGGATCAGGTCCACGAACCTTGGGAGGCTTGGTCACCGGAAGGAGTGTCCATGGGGCGCCTCTACTCAAGCGGGCCGGCGCTGAGTGCTAGATTGCTACGAAGCACCATCCGGCTAAACAATCAAAGTGGCATCATGGAGGAGACCGTGGTGGGGATGACACGAGCTGGAGGCTTAATTAGGGACCGTGCCGGACCCTGCGCCTAGGCCCTGCTTGCCAAACATGGCTACTTAGTCCAGCGCCCTCTCCATCTTCCAGTTGGCTGGTGCCCCAGAGCTGTGGATTAGACCCGACTTGTCGACAAGGCTGGGCTCAATTTTTGGGATACGGCATGGGTCCTCCGAAAGGGTCTTCATCCAATCACCCAGGTGCTTTGCGCATGGGCATGGGGCACGCGACGACGGGATTCTGGCCGGAAGTCGAACAAGTACTTGTACAAATAGCTTGCTAGTAGTCAATTAAAGACTTTGCAAGCTCCCACCTAAAAAAGGACTTGTAGAGATAAGATAGAATGAAGTAGCCATATTTTGCACCCAAGACACCTGGCGCCTGACAATACCATCATGGAGAAGGGTATCATGAGGAAGTGAATATAGACTGGTCGTCGACTGCAAGGTGCCCAATATGGCAGGGCAGGAAAAATAACAATAAAAGTAGCAAGCTCCGTCGCATTGCGCAGAGAAAGCATAGCTTTGTTGTTTCGAAACATGGGGGATCTAAAACATACAGACAGATCCCCCTACTTATCCTGACACTAGCCAACGATTTGCTAGTCGTCGTCTGACAGCAAGACAATCAAAGCGTGAGCCCATCACTTTTGTCAAGGCACCAGACACATGAGGCCAGACAAGGTCGGCGACACCGATCCCACCCTGAGTCCGTCCGTGCGGCTGGAGGATTCTATGCACTCCGCCGGCAGTAGGAATATACCGACTGTGTTCCGATGTGCCAATATGCTTGAAGATCCGCAGTTGGACTAGCATGAGAGGAGACCTTGTCGCAACGGGAAAAAAAGAACGAAAAGAAAAGCTAGCCCCCAGGCAGCTTCAGGCACAAAGATTGCTGCACTCCTTGCTGAGACGTGAGCTGAAGGCCTTCCAACTCGGATGACGTTTTGTGGCGGCCTGTCATTAGGTAGGTGGGTCGCTTTTTTCATCCATTTCTGTGTCACTCAATAGTGCCTTTAGGCTTCCAGCGTAGCAATGTAACTGTGCAATAGCTAGGACGTAGTTGCAGCAACGTACGAGATCACCGGTATATAAGACAGTCCAGCCCTTATATTCTTGTCGAATCCTGGAGATGAAACCAGGCCTCATCAGAGCCAGCCCGAGGCTCAGCCCGGCTTTTTTTCTCAAAGCTCCGTGGTATTAAGATCCGACTGAGTGCTCCGAAGCTGCAGAATAAGATGGGAGATGAACGGGCCAGCATGCGGTCCGCGGGCATTTTGGGAGTGTGTGCCATTTAGCGTTTGGAGCGGCGCCTCCCCTTGTCAAAGCGTGGCAGCTTGCCGGTTGGTATGACCCAAGATTTCCGAGATTAGTTTCTCCATCACGTCAAACAGGAGCTCGTGCCTGGGAACGCAACTGGTACTCGGCGGGTACCAGTACAGATCCAACTATAATGTCTTTGTTGAGCTTGCAGCTCTGCTTTACCAATTATTCGACCGGCCGTGCGTGAAAGACCCAAAATGTCTCCCGATGCCTTCCTAGACCGAAAAGTAAGAAGCTGCTGTCGCTCCGGCCAGGTACTTCGTATCGCTCCCTACTAAAAGCAAGGAAAACCGATTCGTGAGCAAGCCTAGGATTAGCAGGGATTGATTCAAGGTCGCTCGCTTCCCTAAACCAATACAGCACCTTGCTGTGCAAAACATGTACTGTACAAACATCCCCGTATTTGCAGGTTGACGCAGCTCTTGAAGGGGGGTCGAGATGATGGTAGCACTAGACAATTGGCCCCGACCAGGTTTCAGAGCCTCAGCAAGACATCACTTGCCCCGTACGTAGGGTGAGCCTCAAGAGCCCTGGTCTGCCCTCGTCAGAAACATGTGGTAATACTTCATGCAGTAAGAACACGTGAAGCGGCGTTTCCATCGTACGGGTTTCTCCAGTCAAAGAGGCATCTCGCTATCCTCCAGATTCCCGAGAGACAACGACTCTGGGGTCGCAGAAGCGCACAGGCCCTAGACCAACAGCCACATATCAACTATCATTTATCGAAGACGCAAGCTTTGCGCCGGGCTTCTCTCCTAGATCGGGTTGGCGCTCTGCAAGCATCGCCGACTAAACATCTCAGCGCTATTGGGGGAAACCCCTGGCACAGAGGGTAAGACCTTCTCTTGGCAAATCGCATTACGGCTACGAGTGCTCTGCACAAGCAGCCGGAGCGTGCAGGTATACTACCCGTATAGTACCCGTGCAGCTGTGTGACGTGCTATCCCGAAACCAGATATTGACACATGATACTAATAATTCACCCGACGGAGTGATCCTTGTTCCCGCCCCTCCAATTAGCGAAGAGGACACAAGTACAAGTATCATTTCAGTTTCTCTTATTGGTGGTGTCTCAGTTGGGGAAAGGTATCACGCCGTACTCTTACTTGAAGTCGATGCATCCACGCCTGAATATATATGCCAGGGCCCTTGTGGTTACTCGTCACTGTGCGTAGGTTAGCAGAAGATATCAAGTATCTTTTCCGGATGCTGCTTAGTCACTCTATATTTCCTCTGTCTAGCTTCGAATCTTGAGGATCATCTCCCTTTTCAGCAAAGATCAGAGAGCTGGGGCCTTGAGACAGTTTCTGAGGGTAGCCACCTACAGTAGTAGTTAGTTAGTTTACTGCAGAGGAGGAGACCCGCTTTGACGCGGTCTTTGATGCTTCAATGCCAGTCAGGCGCCCATTCCTCCCAAAATACCACAAGCTGCATAAACCCTTGCAGGAACCTGCCAGTACCGCGGTCATTGACCCAATCTGACCCAATGACTCGGCTCCGTCCAGTCGCGATATGATCTAGTCGCCCACCAGGATAGGCCGTCCGCTTTATTCTTATCTGAGACAAGAACCGGGAGAATGAAGAAAGGCCGTGTAGAATTCTTCCGAGCCAGTGCTTTGGTATCGGCCTTTTTGTACCCTGTACCAAATCTGTGCTCTATCTCTTTTCAATCGACATCTCCCAATCAGTCCTCAGTACTACCTTAGGGTTACGTGAGGACGATTCTATCGGAGCACCCTTGGCACTGACGCTGTTTTCTTGCTTTCTTCATTTTTCCCTCTTTTGATAGCCAGCCCTGCAGTATCGCTGTTACCCGTCTCTTTTCTTCGCTCCTTGTAGTTTTTTTTTCTTCTTGCTTAGATGCTTGGGTTTCCTTTCCTTCGTTTTAACCCTTTTTACCTTGTACCAGTAACATAATGAAGACATCATTGATTGCTCCGCATTGCTTGCTCGGCTTCCTTTCCGGATGCGTCATCTATGCGAAAGACGACCCAAACGGAACGATGATCTATGCATGGCTAAATCCCCCGACCCGACGACGCGTTAGTTGCTAGTAGTCATGCTACAACGCACTATGTAGCACTGCTAGTAGTATTAGCTGGCGCCCCGTTCGCGGCTCTCGCTTCCTAGCCCCTGGTTTCCATTTAGCCAGCGCGGCCTAAGAGCCCGGCCTACGACTAGCAGCTTTGATATATGCGCTAACGGCGTAAAAATGTCACAGAGTACAAAGCCCTATGGCTTCTTTCAGAGATAAAGAAAGTCGACGCTGG